ATTTTAGCAATTACCACCTTCTATTTTTTTTTGGAAATTACCACCTTCTATTTTCAAAAACATCAAAAGTTACCACCTTCTTGCCCTCCAACTATCACGTGACGTCATTTTGGGCTCATTATTTCCCTTCCCTCCCTATTTCCCTTACATTTCTCATTCCTATGTGGATTCTCATCTCCCCTTTCACTTTTTTCCCCCAAACCACCAGTAATTGTTCGTCAATTTTGATTTGGAGGAGTGAATTGAAGTAGTGTTTTTGATTGTTTGGGGGAAAAAAAGTGAAAGGGTGGGGGGATGAGAATCGAGTTAGGAATGAGAAATGTGAGGGAAATAGAGAGGAAAGGGAAAGAATGAGCCCAAAATGACGTCATGTGGTAGTTGGGAAGCAAGAAGGTGGTAACTTTTGATGTTTATGAAAATAGAAGGTGGTAATTTTCAAAAAAAATAAAAATAGAAGGTGGTAATTGCTAAAATGGACATAACAGAAGGTGGTAATTGTCAAAAATTCCTTTATTTTATGAATATATGTTTTTATGAGTTTGTTGGTTTAGTATGAACCTGTATACTGGTTGTTTTGTTTGTTGTTATTCTTATGAACGTCATAAACATGTTTATGAACATATATAAATATATTATGAGCATAATAATGTAATATATGAATATAATGTTTATTAAAGTGAACTTTCTTATGCTAGGATGATGAACAAGTACAATTGTAATGATAATGATTGGTTAAATCATTTGTACTCGATCAAAGAAAGATGGTGTCCAGCCTATTCTAAAGAATATTTTTTCGGAGGAGTTTTGAGTTCCCAAAGGAGTGAAACCACAAACCGTTCGGTTTCTCATGGATTGAGGAAGACGGATGGTTTGTGTGATTTTTACAAGACTTTTCTTGATGTTGTGGCTGAGTGGAGGAGTAAGGAAAGTAAGCAGGACTTTCGGTTTTTGAGAGGTAATCGTCATTTGGCGGTTGCTAATGTAAGGCCTTGTTTGGCAACTGGCTGTTGGCGGTTGGCTGTTGGCTGGTTCACTTGGCTTGTTTAACCAGCTGGAATGTTTGGCTGTTTATAATGGCTTTTGAAATTGGCTGTTTAAGCTGGTTGTTTATAAAAGTGTTTGGTAAATTAATTGTTGGTTGTTGGCTGTTTATTAGATAATTTCTGGGCCAACAAGCCAAACGGCAACAAAAAAGCCACTTAAAGCAGTTTTTTTCATTTTGACTTAAAAGCCAGCTTTTTCGCTGACTAAAAAGCCAATCACCAAACACATTTTTTGGTTGTTTGACCACTTAAAAAAGCCAAAAGCCAAAAGCTAACCAAAAAGCCATTAAAAAGTCAATTACCAAACATGGCCTAAGTCTTCTTATTCATGCTAGAGAGGTTTATACAATTTCGGTTTATATTGTCTTTGAAGATCAATTTGCAAAAGCTATTTCTTGTTCTCAAGAGAGAAAGTATGAAAATGATGAGACAATTAGTTACTTGGTATGGAGGCCTGATATTATTAGGCATGAGGTTGTTTTAAATAAATTCACTAGGGTAATCAATTGTACATGTAAGTATTGGAGTGAAATGGGTTTATTGTGTTCGCATTCCCTTCGTATTTACAACATTCATTGTGTTCAAAAGATACCCGAAGTATACATTGTTAAGAGATGGACCAAAACCGCGATGTGTAGTCATGTGGTTGATGAAGATGTTGTTCAAGAGAATGTGATTTCTTCTTCTATTTGGAGAGCTCATATGTTAAGAAAGTTTGTTCAACTTGTTACATCTTGCCAAGATCACCTTGAAGCACGAGCTGAAATTGAATATACATTTGAAATGTTAAGGGATAAGGTTGAGAGTGTTAGGGGGCCAATTGATTTTGATGAGGAAGAAGAGGTTTAAGAGGTTGAAAAGGATGCACAACCTATTCAAAATCCAAAAGTAATGAGGAAAAAGGGTGAAAGGAATGATAGGCCAAAGAGCACTATTGAAAAACCTTGTAATAAGGCCAAGGGGTGGAAGAAAAAAGTAGATAAATACAACGATGAAGTTAAAGGTACTGCTCAAAAGGTTTTTCAGGTACTTTTATGAACTTTTTGTGTATTTAAGTGAATATTTTTGTATGGGATATGAACATAACTATATTTGTGTTTTATATTGCAGGCTTTAGATGATGATGGTTATCCTTTGACTTATTCACACCCAACAACAAAAGATTCAAGTCTTAATGTCCTTCCAAAACAGATGAATGGGCAATCATCAATGGTAATTTTTAAAATACTTTCAATTATAATAGTATTCTATTATTTTTGTTTTTGAAAGAATAGTATTCTATTATTAATGTTTTATAATATTTTTAGGGTGTTCAAGGTGCAAGTAAGAAGAGAAAAGTACCAGCAAATGATGCTCAAACTTCATCAAGGGAAAATACTTACAATTCACAGGTAATCATTTATTTGAATTTTATGCTTAATTATATGAACTTTATGCTACAGAGCCTGAACATTTATTACAGCGTATTGGACAACAATCTTCAAAGAATAACACTAATACCTCAACAAATGCTTCTCAGACTTCATTCTCAAAATTAATTTACAGGGTAATGGACGACAACCCTCAAAGAAAAACAATAATACGAGTCAACCTTCTTCATCAAGTCAATTTGGATATTAAGCTAAGAAAGGAAGTTTTCATTATGAGAACATCAAATGGTATCAGGTAAATATGAACAACCTAGTTACATTTATGAACATTTGCTTTTTATTTTTGAACTTATGTGTTTTTGTAATTATTTTTTATTTTATCTCTTTTTTTTCATGCTTGCGCAATGCTACAAATGAAGGGTGTGAAGTTGGTGGATCTTCAAATGTTTCACAATATAATGAAATGTTATCCATGTTTGATAAGGCAATCAATGTTTTGATTTTTTAATAATTGACAATTTATTCAATTGCCTAAAAGTTGTAACAAAACAAATTATTACTTATTTTTATTTTATAAATGTTTTTGATTTCCAAGAATTAATTTACTGATTTTTTAAAAGAAAGATGATCAATTAGCATTATATAAGTGATCTACCATTATATAATAATGAGATAAATCTCAAATTTAAATGCAAAATATCATGCAAACTGATGTTTCAAGTCATAAAAGGAATCCACAACTATTAAAGTAAGTTGTCTTTGCAAAGTTATTAACTATAAAAAACTAAGTTGATTCTTCAATCCTTCGTCTTGCAGCCATCTTTATTCTGTATGCTTATCTATTGGTATTGCTTAGTAATATCTCAGCACAATACTTCATTCTTAGCTTTCTGATTTGATCAATCTGGAAAAACGTATGAACATAGATATTTAAAATATGAACAAACACTCTATATAAATGAACATAGTTATAAATTGAATTTTAAAAGAGTTGAAACCTTACATTATCAGCTTTCAGATCACAAACCCATTCTACTGAAGGTTCTGATGTGTATGTTTCCATATGCTTCAACAAATAAACACCACAATTCTTATGGTCCCAATTGCTCCTCCAATTCATTTTTATCAAGTTAGGCTTGAAAGCTTTTATTTCATCTAGTTCTTTTTCATTGTAATTTTGGCTTTTCAAAAACCCTATAAAAGCTTCAAGCTAATTTTGAAAATACACATTCAATAGTTAGTTATAAGGAAATGAACAATAGAAATAAATTAGTGAAATTCACAGAAAGTTCAAATTAAAAAAGATGAGTATTTAATATTTATCATTTTTATGGGACAGATACTGTATTTGTCTTTTGCTTTCATATTCATGGGAAGCTTTCTATTATCAATCATATCAACAGTGGCATTATACATATTGAAGCAAACCAAGTAGAAGTGGTTAAATGCTGACACTAGGAAAAAGAATTGTTTGACTTCTTTTATTTTTTTGATACCACTGTTTTTCATTTCAATTTGAAGTCTGGAAATGAATTTTGAAATTCTTTTTTTCATGTCACCCTCTTTCTTAACAATGTGGTTTGTGCACACTATCACCTGCATATAAATAAAAAAACATAAATAAATAAGTACCTATATATGAACTTTTAATAAAATATTAATGAACTTCTAGTTCTAATATATGAACTTTTAATAAAATATTAAAGAACATCAAATATATATGAACGTTTAATAAAATATTAATGCTCGTCAAAAAAAAAATTAATGAACTTCTAAGCTAGTTCTAATATATGAACTTACATATGGAATTATGCTGAAGTAAATGTTGTTTTTTCGACACTTGTAATTTAAAATCTGTAGCCCAAGCATCAATAATGGAATTGTCAATTTCTTCATCTGTGCCTAGTGTCTTCATTTGAGATCTCTTAATACTAGTTTCTCCATCAAAGTACATTACCTCACTTCACACGCAATAAACAAACAAAACAATCCATTTTTAAAAAATGAACAATAATAATGAACAAAACATATTATTTTATGAACAAGTAATATAATAATGAGCAACTTACTCCTTAGGACCATCATTGAATGCATAGTCAGAAATTGTTGCATTCATTGAATTCACATCCTTGAAAAAATCTTTGTATTTTACCATGAATGGTGATTTGAGACAAGCAGACAAATTGTGAATATGTCTTATAGGTCGTTTGCCAATTTCAATTTCACTACATAAAATAACATTGTTAGTTTATAAAATGTCAAAATTATGTAAATAGGTTTTTTTTTTTTTTTTTTTTATTATTCACCTTGCTGTTTTGTCCTTTGACACATTTCTGCAAAACACAGATAATAAGTAAAAGTGATCAATATGTGAATATAAATGAACAACTGTTTAATATAAATGAACATAAGCTTTTTCCATTTTTTACCCTGGATTTTTCGCTTCTCCTTTAGATCTGTCAATAGATGAACATAATATAAAACAAAATGAATATCAAACAATAATAGATATTTATAGTAAAAAAATATTTTCATAATATAATTTATAAGTTTCATAGAATATATAATAATTTTTGATGTCCAAAAAATTTACATTACTTTTTCTAGTTTGTTCATCCAAAAAATTAACATTAGTTTTCTCTTTACATTACATAGACTATCTTAGCTAGTTATTACAAAATATATATCATATTTAGGAGTCACATTACCCTGCATATTGAAATTCTGAATTCAATGGTTTGTTCAAAATGTCCTCAAATGTAGGGTCTTGAGTTTTGAACATATGATCAAATTTCGATGCTTCAATCACCGGTTGCTCCTGCTCCACACCTGCACTAATTGACCCTCCCATACCTAGCCCGAGGTTCAAATCAATGTTTTGTCCAATCTGAGTCTCCGTTGGATGAACCATTGGACTAGGAGTTTGTTCTTTGTCGATCCCTAAATTCCAAGCAGTTTGTGGATCCAATGACTCTCTTACTTTCTTCTTCCCCTTTGCCTCTTCTTTTTCTCTTGCTTTCTTTTCAGCTTGTACCTTCTCCAAATACTCCTTTTCAACCTTATCTAAAGCATTCAAGAAAGAATCTGTACCAAATAATTCTTCATCTTGACTCAAAACTGAAGGATTTGAAGGATCCTTAAATTTCTTTTGCATGTAATCTCCCACTGTTTTGTAAAGAAGATTATTTGGGAAAAGCTCTTCAGCATGATTTATCATTTCACACAGTTTTTCACAATTCCCACCCATAGTTCTGACCACATTAATAAACTCTTCCATAAATTCCTTCTACAGAAGAACATACAGAACAGACATTATGAATATAATGCCTTCAAATATGAAAATAAAATATAAAGAAATAAAAGATAATATCATTATGAAATATACGCATAAAAAAGTGAATATACAAATAAAATAAAGTGAACATAATCATGCAAAGTATGAACATATGCATAAGTTCCCTAAAGTGAATAAAAGATTTTCAGAAAGTGAACATAGGCATGAAAATATGAACATAAGCAATTCCAAATGTGAACATATGCATTTCAAAATATGAACACAATCATCGTTTTCTTTAGTGAATGTGAACATTTTAGAAAAGAAATTCCTACCATTAACCAATAGAATGCAGGTCACAAATCACTACAGAAATAGGATGCTCTTTTCCTAACTTCCTACCATTAAGATGAACAAAACCTGAAATAGACAAAGCTACAAGCTACAAGAACTTGAACAAACCAAAGAGACTTGTTTCATCATTAACATAGAAGAAAGCGAGACTGAAGATAGACCATGTCCTGCATCCATGTCCTCCGATTAGAAAAGAAGACTGAAGTTCAAAACACCAACAATACTAATGTCTACTAACATCAAACAAATAGATGGCCCCAAGTGCTTGGAAAAATGAAGATAGACCAAACAGATCAATGACTAAATCAGCCAAAGCCAAGGAAATAGGTCTGTAAAACTATACATAATTTAGACTTAATCTAACTGCATGCAGATCAAACCAGACATGAACATTATAAATGAAAATAATGAACATGCAATAATATTGATATATTTTCTAATCAAACCTTGGCCGTTGTTATATTAGTAGATTCTTCTTGTGTTGTTTTCCTTTTGATTTCAGCTCTAGGCAAAATATTACCCAATCCAACTCAATGGCTCTCCAACTTCATCCTTTCGACCTCCATATCCTTTGTCCATACAGATATGATAGGAGTTCTTGGTGGCATGATGCTTTTCTTTTGATTGCGATCAAAGTAAAACAACTGAAAAAAAATACAGAAAAAAATCGTCAATTAGCTGTAGGGAATAATTTCAAGCCTTAAATCCCACTAGCTTGAACCCCACTGTGATCATACACTAAAGTACGGTGGCGTCCAAAAGGGAAGAAGATAGAGCAAAAGAGTCGCCAACAAGTTTTTAAGGAACTTGTAAACCGTTCACGAGGTGAAGGTTACACCCCTTAACGATCCAAGAGATCGTCAACTCCATAAGGTCATGAACCAAATAAGGGTTCGGGGATGAAGGTACAAATCCAACCTAAAAGAGATTGAACCTGCCCTAATAATAGGCCTCTACTTTATTCTGATCATATTCATGTGCGCTTTTTAATTAACATGCAATCAATAGGATTAACCCTAAACCTGTTTAATCTATGTTGGTTGAATATAATGCACAAATAAACTATTATTGGCGATCACTTGAATTATAATCATATAACCCTAACAAGATTATTAATTATCTTATTAAGCATGATTGCAAATACCAAATTCCCTATAAACATGCATAAAAGGCGTGATCAAGAAATAAATATAAAATAATGTACCAAGCAACATAATAATAATAATCATGATAATAATAATAATCATATCATAATAATAATCATAATCATGTTAAAGCATAAAAGCAAGACCCTAGGTGATTAGGGGATTTTTCCCCACCAATCACCATCTGACAAGTGGACCAATCAGGTTCCGCCATGTGTCCGTCACATGGGCCAATAGGAGCCTGCCACGTGTCAAGCAATGATCCGTCCACTATGGACCAATTACGACACGACACGTGTCCTTCCCATGACACCTGGGATAACCGGTCACCTAGGCCCAACTTCCGAGGGAAGCCCAATCAGCCCAAGGTTAACCTAAACCTATATTGACACGTTTCCCGAGGTTATAAATACCTCCCTTAATCCACATTAAGGGAGATTACGCTAAAAACGCAGATTACACACATTAAACACTCTCACCTAGAGAGACCCAATCACTTTAATTTCCGCATTAATTACTCCTTAATCAAGTACTAACTTGACCGTCGAAGGCGGATCTCCAATCATCCGGAGCATCCGTTTGTTTTGCAGGTACAGGCGTCCGGTTCCAGTCTCGGAATTGTAACTCTCCCGCAGGACATCAGAAAACCCCGAAACATCTTGGCGCCGTCTGTGGGGAGAGTACTTCTGAGATGGCATCCACGTTTGTACCGGCTCCTGAAGAGAGACGTCCCCTGGACGACCCTCTAGTTCAGTCGGACCACGATACTGAGAATGAATTTGAAGTTGCAGCTCACACAGCTTCAGACGGGACCCTAAAGGCCCGACGTACCCGTCATACCGAAAGGAGGGAACGGGAACATCTTCAAACTGGAAGCGAGCCAGCAGGCGCACCGCCTGTTCGGCAGCAGCCGACTGATGGGTCTGCTCCCATCACAAGGAACGAACTCATGACCTTCATGAGGGACTTCAAGAAAGAAATTCAAGAGTTGATCAACAAGAAGCCGCCTGCTCTGGACAAGGAGCAGTCGGCTAAGAAACCCTCCACCTCACGGAAGAGGAAACCAGTTCAAGGGCGAGAGGCGACCCCTCATCCTAAATCTAGGAAGTGGGAGCCACCTGCCCTTGATTTCACAAAATACCGTTTTCCTACTCCAGGAAATAGGAAACCTGTTCGTCATATTCAGGCGGACGGGTCGAGGAAAACATACACAGACGCTCGGCTACTGCTAGAGCAGAAGAAGAGTGACCGATTGTCAGAGTCGGCCTCTACTTCAAACTTCCAAGACAGTCTGTGAAATACCTCGATGAGGCATACTCAGTCGTATCATGAGAGTCAGTCAGGCGGCACCTCCCGTCAGTCCGGCTTTCATAGCGACCAGGCGGTACCAAACTTACCGTTTGTACCGCAACAACAGTATTTTTTACAGCCACCTCCGTTTGGTGGACATGCAGCAAAAAATGTCCAACCTATGGACTGGCAGCTACGGTTTCTTAGACTTGGTGAACAGCCGTCGGCCTTCTCCAAGGAAATTACTGAAGCCGCTCAGCCGGCCAAAGTGAAAAATGTATTAGTAGGCGCCTATGACGGCACTACTAACCTAGAAGACCATCTGATGGCATTCACCAATCTGATGTACCTTCAAGGGTTGGATGATCCCACTTGGTGCAAGTGTTTCCCAGCGACTCTCAAAGGAATCGCACAACAATGGTTCGGCAACCTGCCGACTGGTTGTGTAAATAACTTCAAGACGCTTACTTACTTATTCACCTCCAACTTCGCCATGAACATCCCTGCGAAGAAGACGACCCTTGATTTAGGAACAATTCAGCAGGGCGAGAAGGAGGGGCTTCGTTCTTACATCAGGCGGTTTAACCTGATGAGAATACAGATTCAAGGGTTACCGGATGAAGTAGCCTATACTGACTTTTTTCAGAGGTCTCAAAGACGGGTCGACCTTCAAATTTGATTTGGTCCGAAAGAGGGGGCGACTCTTCAAGAGGCCTTGATTGAAGCGGAAGCCTATATACAGGCGACTGATCTTTGTAGTACGGTAAAACAGTCAGACGGGAAAAGGTCAGACAAAAGAGAAGGACGACAGAAGCAGTCGTCAAACAAAGACGAGAAGAGAATAGAGGTCTGGGCAACTGATTCCTCTAAACAGCCGTCCCAGAAGAAGAAAAAAGAATTCAATCATACTCCCCAAAGTATGTGTTTAACAAGGATAGCCAGTTTATCCTAAAGGAAATCAAGGGACGGATCTCAATTAAAAAGCCGGTCCCCATGAAGGGTTCTGCAAACAATCGGAACCAAGAAAAATTCTGTGATTATCATGAAGATGTTGGTCATCACACCAATGAATGCATCACTCTCATGCGGTATCTGGACCGCCTGGCTGAGCAAGGTGATCTTGACACTTATGTCAAGAAATCTACGGGGAACACTTCCTCAAAAAAGCAGTCGACCAAAAAGAATCAACAGGCCGACAGCTCTGATACAGATGATGCAGCCGTCTACACCATTGCAGGCGGCTTCTCAGGAGGCGGCCCCACTATTAGGGGCAACAAAGACAATATCAGACGGTTAGATGTAAATTCCGTTCACCAAGAACGGCCCTCCAAATATTCATTTCCTGAGATTGTCATCACTGCAGAAGATCTAGGAGGGGTAAGAGGGCCGCATGACGACCCTATCGTTATTGAATGTAAAGTGGCCAACCAGAGAGTTGGCCGAATCCTCATAGATACCGGAAGCTCCTCAGATCTCATCAGTAGCAAATGTCTGTCGAAACTAAAATATCAGACTGATTACATACATCCGGCATCCCACCCTTTAGAAGGGTTTGGAGGAGGAGTCGTCCACCCAGTGGGACGAGTGGATTTACCCATCCGCCTGGGCGAAAAAGGAGAAGGACGACACATGGTAGTCCGGTTCCTGGTAGTAGAAGAACTCTCGGCCTACAACATGATTCTGGGACGACCAACCCTGAATAATTCCAAGGCTGTTATAATCCCATCTCTTATGTTGCTCAAGTTTGAGAGGGATAATGGAACAGTCGGGTCCCTAAGGGGAGATCAGAGGATGGCCCGAGAGTGCTATCTCTCGGATGTCAAGCCCACTGTTATGGCCACTGGGTCGAGCGGTGGAAAAATAGACCTTGACAATGTCAAGGAGAGTGCGCCTGTTCAAGAAGCAGGCGACAAGAAGAGAAAGGCATCCCAGACAGGGGCCGCGAGAAAAGACAGAAAATAGCAATCATTGGCAGAGGAGCGGTCGGATGAATTCCGCCCTCAGCCAGCTGGTGAGCATACGGACCTGATCTTAGATGACTCGCGTCCTGACAGAACAATCAAGGTTGGGACGACTGCTCTAAGGGACCTGGGTGACGACTTTCACAAACTATTGAAAGAATACAAGGACATCTTTGCATTCGAAGTCCATGAAATGCCAGGCATTAGTCCTGATCTGGCGGTACATAAACTGGACGTGGATCCGAAAAAGAAGCCGGTACGGCAGAAGAAGCGGAACCATGGCAAAGAAAGAAGTCAGGCGGCAGCCGCCGAAGTTAAAAAATTACTTGATGCAGGGTTCATTCGGCAATGTTACTTCCCAGACTGGGTTGCAAATGTGGTGCTTGTTAAAAAGCCGAATGGCACCTGTCGAATGTGTGTAGACTACACAGACTTAAACAAGACGTGCCCCAAAGACAGTTACCCTCTGCCTAAAATTGATAACCTGGTCGACTCAACAGCCGGCAATGCTTTGATGAGCTTTATGGACGCCTACTCTGGTTTCCATCAAATTCCTTTATGGAAGAAAGATCAGGAGAAGACGGCATTCGTCACTGATCAGGGGTTATACTGTTACACGGTCATGCCGTTTGGTCTTAAGAATGCCCCGGCCACTTTCCAGCGAATGATAAACACTGTGTTCTTTGATCAAATTGGGAGAAATGTCAAGGCATATATTGATGATATGATTGTCAAGTCTAAACTTCAGAAAGATCATCTGTCGGACCTCCGAGAAACTTTCGCCACACTCAGGCGGCACCATGTCATGCTCAATCCCAAGAAATGTGTCTTTGGAGTTGAGTCTGGGAAATTTCTCGGATTCCTTATCAATCAGAGAGGAATAGAGGCGAACCCTGAGAAGGTGCAGGCGGTCATTGACATGCAGTCGCCTCGTACCATCCGAGAGGTTCAGAAGTTAACAGGTTGTCTGGCGGCCTTGGGAAGATTTCTAAGCCGATCAGGCGAAAAATGCCTATACTTTTTCCAGGCAATTAAGAAAAAGGCAAGGTTTGAATGGGGGCCGGATGCTGAGGCCGCCTTCCAGAAATTGAAAGTTCACTTGCTTTCCTTGCCGAGGCTGGTCAGCCCTTTGCCCAAAGAAGTACTCTACATGTACCTGGCCGTCTCTGATCATGTGTTAAGCGCTGTTCTCCTTGCTGAAAGAGACGGCTGTCAGCTCCCAGTCTACTTTGTCAGTCATGTACTGAAAAATGCCGAGTTGAGGTATCCCTTAGTGGAGAAATTTGGTCTTGCACTCTTCATGGCTGTTAAAAAATTGAAGCCC